GGTTTGTTTTTTTTTCTGGCACCATACATACAGAATGTGGGGGCGTGAGGTTGGGGGGGGGCGACTCTGGGGAGGGGGTGGTTCTCCTCCCTGAAGAGACACCTTCCAGGTTTAGCTCTGGAAGATGAGAGAGGGCAAGGGCCCACCCAGGATAAAAGAACTGAAAGGATTCTAAGGCAGAAGACCTCAAGACATGTTTTGGGGCCAAGAGGTAGGCCTCCTTCACGAACATACATTTACATCTTGGAGAATACGGTGTGACATGGGCAGAATGCAGTTGGGATTTTTTAAAGGTCTTGGGGGTCAAGGATCCTACACCAGTTTTAACAAGTTTTGGGAAAAGGGTGACAATGGAAAGATTAATTCATTGGAAGGTGGCAGGAAACAGGCAAGAAACAGGAAAACAGGCTGGCAGGCAGACCCATGGAGTCAGACCCAAAGGGTGGGAAGCTGGGCAGCTGTAGGGAAAGGCTGGCCTGATGGGGGCGTCTCAGCACACACTGCGAAAACAAACACATTCCTGTTAAAGTGGTACTGTTGCTCAGTCGATAAGCCATGTCCGACTTCTGATCCCGCGTGCTGCAGCACACCAGGCTTCCCTGTCCTTCACCATTTTCCGGAGCTTGCTCACACTCACGTGCATTGAGTCGGTGATGCCATCCAACCATCTCATCCTCTGTCACCCCCCTCTCCTCCTGCCCTCAATCCTTCTCCACATCAGGGACATCAAGAAGAAGAAAAAAAACACTGATTACGATTAAAAAGTAGTACTCCTTGGTTCTCCCTTAGAACTCCCCGTGTGCACTGTTTAACAAGATCAGTTCTTTTCCTGGGTACCCCCACCTTCGGTATTTCCTCACTCAAGTAAATGCTTCTTTGGAGTTTTTCCCATCTGGTGGGTTCTCTGAAGAACAAAAAAAGAGATCCAAAAACCATCCAAGAAGAGACAAGAAACCTCAAGGTCCAGGGAGTGCCCTGGTTTCCACTTGCATGTTTTGATCTAAGCTGGGGTGATGGGTCTCCTCTCAGCGGCTGGGGCCTGCCTCGGTACCTTGGAGTTCAGAGCCTCTGGTCAAGGACCTCATTTCCCTGACGTCACTGAGCAAAGTGCTCAAGAAGGGGAACGCCAACACAGTACCAGTAGGACAGTTGGCAGGGCACTCCGTGACATTTTAAAGATGTTTGCTCCCAGACCGCTCAGCCACAAAGGACAGTTTCACTGTCAGTTTCTTAGCCACTGGGTGTTCAATTCATAGAAATCAATTATGGCCAGCTGAGAGAGGCCACCATCCGAGGTGGAGTAAAATCATGAAGCCTTGTTTGTTTCTTTCTAACAGGGACTGTATTTGTTACGTTCTTCTTGGTGGCATCTGGCATTTTTTAGCAAGGGATCAACAGAGATGGCAACTTGGGACTTCTAAGAACTACTATCTGTTTACCACAATCTCCATATTCAAAGAATTAGTAGCACGTTTTATTTTTTAAATGTGCGTTTTCTTTTTATGACTTTGCCATCACTTGGAAAACCCCATAACTTTCAAACCACAGAAAACAGTTCAGACCATGATCACAAGGCAGTAGACAGATACCTGGAGATTTAACAACTGTGAATCTATCTTGCTATGAAGTTAAAAATCAATCTCTGTCATTCATCTGTCCATCCCTCCATCCATCTCATCCCAATCTTCAAGCTGGATAGTTGACTACTGACCCAATTCACAGAATGTCTACTGACCGAATTCACAGAACGTCTACTGACCCAATTCGCAGAACGTCTACTGACCCAATTCACAGAACGTCTACTGACCCAATTCACAGAACGTCTACTGACCCAATTCACAGAACGTCTACTGACCCAATGCTTTCCACTACAGGAGAGACTAGAAATCAAAGCTATCAGATGCATGGTTTGCTTCTTCACCTCCTTAAAACATTATTGCTGCTACACTGTAATAATGCATAAATTAATGCAGAAAAAAATATGGCCTCACAGGTAAAACCACCGCCAAGGCAGAAACATGGCAGAGTGGTAAAATCAAAGATTAGAGAGTCAGACAGACTAGGGTTCAAATTTGGTTCTACTACAGAACAGCTGTATGTTCATGACAAGTTATTCACACTCCTTGTAGAAGGCTGTGGTTCATCACCTACAGACTGAATTAACAGTCCTCAGAATGTGGGTTTAGAGCGATAATACACTAATTAATTTAAGATAGTAAAAAAACCTAAGTATAATTATCCTAAGAGTATGGCAAAAATGATGAAGGTGTTAAAAGAGATGCCACAGTTTGGGAGCTACTGCCATAGCAACAAGGAGGAAGCCCGAGGGAGGGGACACAGGCCAGCACTCCCTGATGCAGGGTCAGCTAAGGCAATGAGAGTCTGCTTCCAGAAGGCACGGCTTGTATGCCCTCAGCTGGACACCACAACAGGTGGGTCAGCACTGAGTCAGGAGTCACGCTGGAAGCAGGTCAAGCCGGTGGCTGGACCCCAGAATCCAGCTGGCATGACTGAGAAGCCTGCACATTCAGATATCTGGGTGTTATCGCAGGAAATACCAAAACGTGAACTGAGCAGGAAGAGGGGTCGGATGCCATGGCTGTTTCCAAGGTCGCATCCAAACCGGCAGGAACTTCCCAGGAGACAGAGCACCGCCCCAGGAAGGGCGTGCGTGGCAGGCCCAGACGGATTCGTCCTTCAGCCTTAAAGGCACACGGGTCCGGATTCTGATGCGGCTTCCTGCTGCCTGCAGTTACTTCTCCCTCTGCTCTCCCAGAGTAAGGCTCCGAGAGAGGGGCACTTTCTTCTGTGCACATCTGATGGGTCTCTCCCCAGCAGCTTGCTCCCAGAACAGTGAAGCAGACCGTTGCTGCTGACGTCAGAGGAGGCTCTCTATGCCTCCATCAGAGTCCCTTCTCAGATCCAGCGCTGGGTGAAGAGATGGGTACTCCCGTCTCAGGGACTGAAGCACAGAATGGATTTTCCCATAGAAAAAACTGTTGTTAAGTAGAAAGTTTTGATAAATAATGTTTTGTGTATGTTCCAGGATTCTCTGCAAGCTAGCCTGGGAACCAGACTACCAACTATACCACCACATCAGTGGCAAAATGAAAATATGGCTGTAAAAATGAAAAGTGGCTGTAAAATGAAAATATGGATTGCAATGGTCACATAAGTGGTGGCTGCCTATCCTTCAAAATACAGCACATTCCTTACTAGAGAACATGTAACACTACATATCTTAAATTTCATCTTTCTTTTAACATCTTCCAGAAAAAGATTGGTTTTATCATCAATTATGGCTGGTATTCAAGTTTTATACAATTGAAAAATAACATCCTCCTCCTCTCATAACAAAAGAAGGACCCAATCTTACATTTGAAAATAATTCTAGCTAGACACATCAGGGTTTCCCAGGTGGCAGGCGCCAGGGGTAAAAAAATCTGCCTCACAGTACAGGAGACGTGGATTTGATCCCTGCGTCAAGAAGATCCCCTGGAGTAGGAAATGGCCACCCACTCCAGGGTTTGCCTAGAAGATTGCATGGATAGCGGAGCCTGGCGGGCTATAGTTCATAGGGCTGCCAAGGAGTCGGACACAAATGAGCAACTGAACACAGCACTAGACACATCAAAGTAATTCCAAAATACATTCTCTAATCATCTCTCATCTGCACCAAGTTGTTCATGGGATGAACTGAAATGACCGTCTTGACTCCCACACTGCAATATTGCCAGTAAATTATTCCTGGTTCTGACCGTAAGTGTTTAACCCAATATTTTCCACATTTGTTTGAAGAAAAGAACTACATGAGGCACTTTTAATTAAAGACAAGAATGCCAGGCCCTAGCCCAATAAGAAGTCAGAATTTCAAGACAGAGGTCTGGGAGTCGTACATTTAAAGACTGCTATCCCTGGTGAGGCTCCCCTGGTGGCTCAGTGGTAAAGAATCCGCCTGCCGAAGCAGGAGACGTGGGTTCGATCCCTGGGTGGAGAAGAATCCCATGGATAGAGGAACCACGGTGGGCTACAGTCGATGGAGCTGCAAGAGTCAGACATGACTTAGTGACTAAACCACACCACCGCTGTGATTCTCTCATCCACCCAGTGGCTCTTAGCCGGGAGGGTGAGTTAGGATCCCCTGGAGCGCTTGTGAAAACACAGACGGATGAACCCCAGCCCAAGAGCTTCTGATCCAGTGGGTGTGGGGTGAGGCCCAAGAATCTGCACTTCTAAAAGGTCCCCCAGTGATGCTGGTGCTGCTGGTCCAAGAACCACACTTCCAAAGCCACTTATTTAGCCTATTTAGCAAACATTGCGGCTGAATGCGGTCTTTTTTTTTCTTCCCTCCTTGGTAGAAAAACAACACCAGACTCACAAGACTTCCTTTGGAGCAATATCACTCGTACTTTCTGTTTGATGTCAGACAAATCAATTTACCACTGCATCTCAGCTATCTCTTATTGTGAGAAATAAAAAGGTAACGCATGAAAAGAGGTTTGGTCCTGTGACTGGCACACAATGGGCCTGCCTTAAAAATCTGTGTACTTTGATCCCCCTCTGTGAGCCACGGATGAATCTGCTGAGGTCTAGAAGTAGGTCCCCAGATTTTTTACACGCACAAAATTTCCTTTGGTTAAAACAAACAAACGAGCAAGCAAACAGCAGCTGACTGCATCTCTTTCTTGTGAGCTATCATGGAGTTACATTTTGAATATAACATGTTGAACGGGAGTATACTCAGCTTCCAAACTCACATTTTCCCATGGAAATAAAAACAGAAGACAGAGATTAGATTCTGATTAGCCTCTCTGTTTAATTTTAACCAGGCTGAGTTTAGTACCAAGGTGTGGGTTCTTTTCCTGGCAGACCTTTATTATATTGTTTTGGCTATTTCTTGTGATCTGAAAATCATACACATGAACCGCAGACTTTGAGAGTCAGAGGTGCCCCGGAGGCCATCAAGCCCACCCACCCACTCTAGGAATAAACTGTAAACATATCCAGTGTGCAGTGGCCTGCTCCCTTCTCGGATAGCCAGTGAGAATGCGCTATTTCCACGAGCCCCGATATGCTCTTCAGGTAACTCTAGTCACTAGATTTTTTTTGCCTTCTAAGCAAAAATCTTTATTTCTGTAATTTTAATACCTCTGGTTCTAGTTTCTCCCTCTATAGCGCCTGACTCTGTCTAATCTCTCCTCCAACTGACAGCATTTAAAGTATTCTGAAATGGCTCGGACGTCTCTCTTGCCTGTTCCTTTTCCGTCTAAACATTCTGTTTTGTCAACCCATCATCAAAATTTCCATATACATAACATCCTTGGTCCTTCTCCCGTGGGAAAGTCCACCTTGAGGCTATTTCTCACTAAAAAAAAATTCCATAACATGCTTCATGTTTTATTATCACCCACAGAAACAATAAATGTTAAGAACAGTGGAGTGTTCTTTCCCAAACAGAGCTTCCAAGAGCCAGAAGCGACAACCACACACAGTGACACTGTAAGGCCTCAGAAGTGATGCTGGTGCTGCTGGTCCAGTTCCAAGTCGGTTTCTGGACTGACTTGGAAGCGAGAGCCGGAGGCATGTGGATGTGGGTACCATGATCCTCTTTGAAAGAGAGATACCAGGCTGCCACTTATATTATCCAAGACCCCAAACGTTTCTTTCCAAGGGAGACAGACAGAAACAAAAAGTATTTCTTACTTTCTACGAAACATCTCTGCAAATATGCAGCCAACGCTCCAGAGGTCCACAGGGGTGGCGTAGCTGGACTGCAGTAGGACTTCGGGAGCGCGGTACCACAGCGTGACGACCTGCAAGGACAAGCGGAGCGGAGCGTTACTGGGGCGATGGCCGTCGTTCCTGCCTCCCGAGCCGTCTCACACCAAGACTCGGTTTGGAAAGAACCCCTAAAATCTTGTGGGGGACACTGAGATTGGAGCAATAAGTAACGTGGGCTCGTGGCTGACAGGTCAGGAAATTACATCAGCCCCACAACCTGGGTTCCCACCTCAGGCTCTGGGTGTCACTAGGATGGCAAAATAACTGAATGTCAGAAAGCAAAACAAAGACTTTAAAAAACAAGCAAACAAACCCTTACCTTAAAACTATGGTTTCTTTCTTAAGGGGCTTTAAAAAAAACAATACATGTAAAACAGGTGATGGCAACGTGTTCAGCTCAACTCCCAGGTCAGCCATTTGGGGAAATTAGAAGATGATTCCAGGGGCTGCTGGATGGTGTCCCTGAAGACTACAGAGCACCCAGGACAAGTCAAAACTACTCTTATCACGAGACTGCGGGGAATCAAAACAAAGCCCCTTCAATGCCACTCTGCTCAGAAAACAAAACACAGGGACTTGAGAGAATGTAGAACCCAACTGCTTACAGCGTGTGGAGAAAGTCATCCAAAGCAAGGGATTCCCATATGGGAAGAATCCTGTTTTACACCAAGCAGTGTAATAACAGACAAAGCAAACACAACAAGCTGTTTCTGCAACGCTGAAAGGTGAGGAAATCATATCATTCAGGTTCTAGATTTATAAGAGCAAATAGGGGTTCAAGTGCTTCTTTTTAGCAGAAGTTCTATGGATGTCTGAATCAAAGATATATTCTTTCTTGTCAGGTAAGGAATTCAATACCACATCTATTACATAAGCATTTTACATTATTCAAATTCCTTTTATCATTACTCTGTTTTGCCTAATTGTACTTTCATTGATGTCTATCTAAATTTCCTGAAATTCTGTTTATCTACGTTGATGCTATAGAACGTAATGCATCAAGACTGCAGTAGAAATTTTTGGAGAAAAAAATGGCTGCCATTAATTTCCCTCTTTCCTTATGTACACACTCCTCTCATTAGAGACTGGAGTTTAATTTACCTTCCCTTCTATCTGAAGTGGCCTCAGTGACTTGCTTGACCAACAGAATATGGTGGAAGTGACATCTGAGACTACCAAAGCCAGGTTATAGGAAGACTGATTACCTGGGCCTTTTTGAACGTTTGTTCTTAAGATGCTTCCTTTTGGAAACCAGCTGCTATGTGGTGAGAAGCCCACAGAAATGTTCCAGCTGACAGCCTCATCTAAGCTCTCAGCTGAAAGGCCATGTGAGCGAGCCGTCTTGGACACTGCAGCCTGACCAGTCACCCCAATAGATGACTGTGGTCCTGCCAACATGACATGGAGCAGAAAACTGCCCAGTTGAGTCCCACTAACTCACAGGGTTCTGACTGATAAAGAAATACATGACTTAGTCACACACAAGACCACATCACTGGCTTTCAACCCTGACTGTGTACCAGGATCATCCATGGGGCTTCTAGAAAAACACATGTGTCTGGGCCTTATCCTGCCCCTAACTTAATTAGATATCCATGGGTGAGGCCCCTGGAGTTCTTTTTCTTTCTCCTCCTCGTTCTTTTTTTTTTTTCCCCCTTCTTTTGGTTAAACTTCATTAGGTAGCCCTAACCCTTGTCTAGGTTTGAGCACCACTCAATTATACAAATGTATCTTCCAGCTCCTGCCTTAATGTTTTTTGATGACCCTGTTCTAGTCTGGCAAACTCTACTTTCTGCTCCACTGGTTGAAATTCTGCTTCTCCTACAAAGCTCAGCTTTGATAGCATCACCTCTCTGGACCCACTGCTACCGAAAAATTGTACCTTGTAATATAGTTCTCGCAGAGTCAGACACAACTGAACTGACTTAGCACATAATGTTGTTCATAATATGGGTCATTCCCGTAGCCATGGGCCTGGTTTCACCCATCATTATGTCTATAAATGTCCATCATAGTGTTGAGCATGTAACAACTGTGTTTCAACAAATACCAAATTGATGATTTTAAGGCAATCATTCCTAGAAGATAAGTGGGCAAAATTCAACCCCCAAAGAGAAGGTATTCACTACTTTTGTTAAGAAAAGTGTCTGATTCTGGGCTCCAGTGTCTAGTTACATAATTTATTTCTGTATTACTAATATTTCTAGCTGGAGGAACATTTTCCTATTTCTCTAATACACTGTAAACCAAGGTGCAGGGGCAAACAGACCATAAAGTTCCAGTCCAGTGGTTTACAGATATACACAGATATTGTGAGATTAAAAATTTATCTTCTCACTTCAGTTTGAAATAAAGTCAAACATATGAGATGAACAGTTTAATCTGAATATAGCATTATTTTAAGCTGTTTAAAGAGGCTGTGATTTCTGACTGATTACTCAGTCGAAAACACTTTAGTAGAACTATCTTCATTTTTAGTACTTTAACCAGTGATACTTATTATGATCATCAAATAAATGTTTAGACAGCTAAAATAATAAGAAAAATGTTGATACATGTAAGAAGTTCCTTTTGTTTCCTTTTAAAATGTAGTTACCACTCAAAATGGATAATGCATTTTTATCAAAAGCTTTTAAAAATGTCTGTTAATAATAACCATTTGACCATTCTCTTTTATTCTATTAATGCTAGATTAATTACATTAATAGATTTCCCAATATTGTACCACCCTTCTCTTCATGGAATAAAGCATTCCTAATCATGGTTTATTATTCTTTTATTTGACTTGGATTCTATTTGCTAATATTTATTTAGGACACTAACTTACACTGATCAATGAGACCAATCTACAGTTTTCTTTTTGTGTGTAATTTTTCATGTTTGTTGTTAGGGATATATGCAAACTGTCCAACCTTTACTATATTCTGGAATATTATAAACGGCATATGAATAATCAGTTCCTTGAAAGGATGCACTTGTAAAACCACCTGGATCTGGACCTTTCCGAGCAGTATGTTTTTAATAGTCTCATGACTTTCTTCTTGGTAATTAGTCTGTTCAGGTTTCAACATTGTTTTTATTCAATTTTGGTAATGATAAGTAATTTCCCTATGAAAATCCTTAATCTATATTTTAAAATATATTGGCTTAAATTTATACAGTATTTCTTGTAATTATTTTTATCTCATTTATTTTTTTGGTTTTCTAAGAAAGGAAATCTCATTTTTTTTCTCTTTATATCAGTCAGGGTTGTTAAGAGTTTAGTTACATTATTTATTAAAAAACTGACTTCAAAATGTCCTTTTATTTTGGGAGTCTTACTGTTTTATAATTTATTGACTTCTACTTTTATCTTTTTAAATCCTCCCTCCTAATTTCTTTGTTTCCTAAAATTTATTTCTGAGTTGAAACTTGGATAATTTATTTTCACTTTTGATTAATGATAGAACATTTAGTTATATATTATTAAATAAACAATCCTCATTTTTGTTCAGCTTTAAACAATACATAATTTACCTTTGATTTTCTCTTTAAGAATAAACTAATACAATTAATTATTTAGAAAAGAGTTTTAAAATTTCCATATGATTAGATATTTACAGTTAACTTTTAATTGCTGAATTATTTAATTGCTAGTCCTATTACATCACAGCCGGAGAACGCAACCTGTAGAATGTCTATCCTTTAAGACTATGCACATAACTGGCTTTTGTTTCATAGGATGTAAGAAGAGTACTCTGTTTTAAGTGTAAAGTTCTTTATTAATTAGTTTGTCTCACACAGATCGTTACTTATATTTTTCTATACTGTGTCAAACTGAAAGATAATTGAGTCTGTGCTTTCCTTCCCCCAGAATCTCCTTGTACTTCTAAGGGTTTCTGCCTTAAACACTCTGGCTTTATGTTTTAATATATGGAATTAATTACAACAAAATATTATTCAGATAATAAAAGTTTGGGTGACAGTAGACATAAAGTACAAAACAAATACACAAGTGCTTCTAAGTCAGTTATAAAATATGATGGAAAAAGGATCACGTTCACATAGTTGCTGAATTTCATCTTAGAGTGAGACAGAAAATGCACTTCAACAGGTGAAAGCAAGACAACTGGCTGTCCATTTGGAATAAAAGCTAAGTTTGATCCCTACTTTATACCATGTATAAGAAGAAAGAAACTATACTGATGAGAGATCTAAATGTAAGAAGCAGAACTAGAAAAATGTATTAAAGGAAAACAGAAGAGGACCTTGGGATGCGGCGGCCTTTCTCAGCATGATGGGTAATCTAGAAGCCCGAAATGAAAAGATATACAGATCCAGCTACTTAAAACTGAAATCCTCTTCACCAAACACTGTAAATAAAGGCAAAGGGTGAACGACAACCTGGGAGNAGCTACTTAAAACTGAAATCCTCTTCACCAAACACTGTAAATAAAGGCAAAGGGTGAACGACAACCTGGGAGAAAACATCTAAAACAAATTATATCAATAAAACAATACAAAAGAAAAATTGATAAAAATATGAAAAAATTTGAAAGAAAAAACTAGTAAAGATACTCAATCTCATTGAAAAAAGAAAGGAAAAAGAATGAAAGAAAAGGAAGAAAGCAGAGAGGAAGGAAGGCAACAATATACAATAATACAACAATATACAATAAAGTAATACAATCAGCACCATTTTTGCCTGATGGGCAGAAAGGACAGAATACCACTATTCAGAGTTGGCCATGGTATGGAAGGAAGGAAAGAAGGAAGGAACCCTGTATGTTTTANATACAATAATACAACAATATACAATAAAGTAATACAATCAGCACCATTTTTGCCTGATGGGCAGAAAGGACAGAATACCACTATTCAGAGTTGGCCATGGTATGGAAGGAAGGAAAGAAGGAAGGAACCCTGTATGTTTTAAATCGCAAACTGGCACAACCTTTTTAAAGGACAATCTGACAGTATCTATAAAATTAATAGTGCCTATGTCTCTGAACAAGAGGTCCACCTGTGGGAACTTATCCTATAGAAATACTCA